CAGGTTGAAGTGCTTATAATAGAGCCCAAATCTTTTAGGTGATTGTGAATTTTTCATATAATGGTAGTTAAGTTTTTATTTTTGTTTTTGAGATGGAGTCTCACTCTGTCCTCCAGGCAGGAGTGCAGTGGTGCCATTCTCGGCTCACTGGAACCTCCAACTCCTAAGTTCAAGCGATTCTCTTGCCTCAGCCTCCCAAGTACCTGGGATTACAGGCGCCTGCCACCACTCTCAGCTAATTTTTCTATTTTTAGTAGAGATGGGGGTTTTACTATGTAGGCCACGCCGGTCTCAAACTCCTGGCCTCAAGTGATCTGCCCACCTCAGCCTCCCAAAGTGTTGGAATTACAGGCGTGAGCCACTGCACCTGGCAGTAGTAAAGATTTTAAAGAAGGGGAGCATATGCATGCCTTTCTTGAACCAGACTTTTAAGTCTTGTTAATAATTATAATAATATGTAATAAAGAATGAAGTACTTGCTTGTCTTACTAATAATATTTTTATATAAAGTGGCTAGATTTTTTTTTTTTTTTTTTGAGACATGATCTCACTCTGTCACCCAGGCTGAAGTGCCTGATCATGTCTCATTGAAGCCTCAGCCTCCTGAGTAGCTGGAAACCCCATCTCTACTAAAAATACAAAAATTAGCCAGGTGATCCTTCCACCTCAGCCTCCTGAGTAGCTGGGACTACAGGCATGCATCACCTTGCCCAGCTAATTTTCTTTAATTTTTGGTAGAGACAGAGTTTTGCCATATTGCTCAAGCTGGTCTCGAACTCCTGAACTCAACTGAGCCACCCACCTTGGCCTCCCAAAGTGCGGGGATTACAGGCGTGAGCCACGGGGCCCAGCTGATTTTTTTTTTCCTTAACCAGAAGCTGATACTAGCTTCTGAATTTTTGTTGAAGAAATCTATGAACCAATTTGCTCTCTGGTTACAACCACTAGACTACGTAATTTTTTTTAGAATCTTTTCTAAAGAAACCTTTCATTCTCCCTCTATTACAATTCTGCAACTGTGAAGTTTTACAGGAATGGGAACATAAAATATAAGAAAAACAAAAACTTTTTAAAATAAAATCTTTCAATATGTTGTAAATTAAAATAGTCTGAAGCACTTACCTTTCCAGGAACATGGAGGTGAATTATTTTGGTCTTATTGCTTAATTTTTCATTCATAAAGAGTAAATTGAATCCCAGCACTTTGGGAGGCCAAATTGGGTGGATCACCTGATGTCAGGAGTTTGAGACAAGCCTGGCTGACATGGTGAATCCCCATCTCTACTAAAAATGCAAAAATTAGCCAGGCTTGGTGGCGCGTACCTGTAGTCCCAGCTACTCAGGAGGCTGAGGAAGGAGAATTGCTTGAACCCAGGAGGCAGAGGTTGCAGTGAGCCGAGATCACACCACACTCTAGTCTGGGTGACAGTGGGAGACTCTGTCTCAAAAAAAAAAAAGAGAATAATTTCTTAGGATAATTTAACTACCTTCATTCTTGTTTTGGTTTGCTGACAGTGGGTGAAAACTGAGACATTTACCTTTGAGGCCAACAAAGATGCCTTTTAGCTTGAAGCATGAAATTCTAGTATACTTGTTGAGGACTCTGCTTTTTCTTCCTTTTTTTTTTTTAAACTTGTCCTCTTTATAATTACTGAATTTAAAGGATGTGTATTACATATAAAATTTTAATTCAGTCACTCTAAAGGGAGAGAATACTTAAAACCTGTAGGATTGTCTACTAAGAAATGCTGCTGCTTTTTTGTTTTTGTTTTTTACTTTTTCTTTTCTTGTTTTCCTAACCACTAGACCACCAGGAAAGAAATGCTATGGTTTAAAAAGGAATTTAGTCTCCTAGCACTTTGGGAGACCAAGGCAAGCAGATCACCTGAGGTCAGGAGTTCGAGACCAGCCCAACCAACATGGAAACCCCATCTCTACTAAAAATACAAAACTAACCAGGTGTTGTGGCACATGCCTGTAATCCCAGCTAGTTTGGAGGCTGAAGAAGGAGAATCGCTTGAACCCGGGAGGTGGAGGTTGTGGTGAGCCGAGATTGTGCCATTGCACTCTAGCCTGGGCAACAAGAGTGAAACTCCATCTCAAAAAAAAAAAAAAAAAAAAAAAAGTAGTCTTTTTCCTCCTTGCATAAAGTAAATGCAACAATATCAGTAATGTTTGGAAAATAGTTTCATCTTAGGGGTGAAACCTCTCACTGTTTTTAGTTATAAGCTTCTATCCAGTTCCTTAACTTATGAACACAATTTTTACATTTTTAGTAAAAGTTCTCTGAAAACATGAAATTGACTAGAAAGTTAATATATATCACCTCATGAATATTTAAAATCTCTCTCTGTATCTTATTTTTAGAAAGCGTGGTCTGAAGAGTATAGAAGTAATAGCTAAAGTGAAAACCTTATATTGACTCCTTGTGATGTTAGATACCACTTGAACATACTCTTTTCTTAGTAAAGATGTAACTGGAATTTAGGTGGTAATCCATAGGTAAACACTGGATCTGCGAGGTTTTTTAATTTCAGCTTTTATTTTAGATATAAGGGCTACATGTGTAGGTTTGCTACATGAGTATATTGCACCTGGATGGTGAGCATAGTACCCAATAGGTAGGGTTTCAACCCACTTCCCCCTTTCTCCTTCCCTTCCCCATCTGTGGGTTATGTTCACCGTTCAGTTAACTGCATTCTAGCAAAACTGAGTCTTTTCAGCTTTTTTGTTTTTGTTTTTGGTTGTTTTTGTTTTTTTTTTTTGAGACAGTTTCTTGCCCTGTCACCCAGGTTGGAGTGCAGTGGCGCCATCTTGGCTCACTACAACCTCTGCCCCCCAGGTTCAAGCAATTTCTCCTGCCTCAGCCTCTTGAGTAGCTGGGATTACAGGTATGCACCACCATGCTCGGCTAATTTTTGTTTTTTTAGTAGAAATGGGGTTTCACCACGTTGGTCAGGGTGGTCTTAAACTCCTGACCTCAGGTGATCCACTGACCTTGGCCTCCCAAAGTGCTGGGATTATAGGTGTAAGCCACTGCACCTGGCCTCTTTTCATATTTTTTTAGTTTTAAAATTTTTACTTGGCTTAGAGGCGGAATGACTTGTAATTACACAAAGCAATATGGAAAACAAACATATAGGCAGAGTTGGCAGAGGAGGCAGGGATGAATGACACAATAAAGGGAAAGCAAGGAAATAGGGAAAAGAAAGGAGGTGATTTGAAGGGTGCCTTATTTAGGGCCTGTTTTGTTTAGTTTTAGAGGCTTATATTTGATCCTTGCTACAGGCTTGAATCTCCTTTGTCTTTGCTTTCATTAAAGCCACACGCACCTATAATCCCAGCACTTTGGGAGGCTGAGGTGGGTGGATCACTTGAGCTCACTAGTTTAAGACCTGGGCAACATGGCAAAACCCTGTCTCTACAAAAAAAAAATACAAAAATTAGCCAGGCGTGGTGGCATACACCTCTAGTCCCAGCTACTTGGGAGGCTGAGGTGCAAGGATGGCGTAAGCCCAGGAGGCAGAGATTGCAGTGAGCTGAGGTTGTGCCACTTCACTCCAGCCTGGGCGATAGAGCCAGACCTTGTCTTAAAAAAAAAAAAAAAAAAAAAGCCACACAAAGCATCTTTCTGGAGTGTTGTTGTTATGTTACAGTAAGTGGTATAAACACATTTATGGTCACTTAGCAGTTTGCTTAACAGATTTTACTAAATCCTCACCAAGGCCAGATTTTGTTTTAGACTTGATGGTGTGAGGAAGGGAGGTAGGGGCAGGGAACAGACTGAGAAGGCATCTTAGAGAAAGTAAAAAGCATAAATTGAGATCTGAACAATGAATCGAAAATAGCTTTATAAAGCAGAGAGGGAGAAGTAATACAGATGAAGAGGAAAAGATTGGAGAGTGCAATAAGGACAAAGGACTTGTAAGCCCTGTCAGGGGACTGGCTCCTAAATGTAATGGGAAGCTAAATGACATGATCAGGTTGACATTTTGCAAAAATAACTCTGGTAGTAGAGTTGGAAAATGAATTGCAGAAGGGCAAGACCAGTGGGGATACCAGTTAGGACATTATTGCACTAATCCTGGTTATGGGAGTGAGGGGCTGGTTTGGATTAGGGTAGTGGAGGTAGTGGCTCTGGAGAAACAAATGGAGAGATTCAGCGGATATTTAGGAAGCCTAATAGACAAGATACAATGATTGATTGGATGTTGGGGGTGAAGAAAAAGGAAGCTTTTCAGATTTTTCCATGTGTATATCCAGGTTGAGCTAAAATAGGGAAATGGAGAGAATAACAGATTTTGGTGGAGGGTGCAGGGGAGATTATGCATTCAGTTGTTGAGTTGGTGCCTGTGAGATCTAAGTATAATTTTAACAGGTGGAATAAAGGTTAAGGGGGTCATAGAAAAGTGGCCTTTTACAATTTGTTTTCAGTGGGGAGAGCAAACAGAAAAGCACTTACAGAGAGAGGTTGATCTTTGATGTGACAATCTCTTGTGGACTGATGTATTCATAAGAGACTGGGATATAAACTTGTTTATCAGTCATTGAGAAATGTAGTGTACTGGCTGTTCATGTTCACCGTGCACTCTTCCTGTGGACATACTGACATGAGAATTCATATCACAATGAGAATAACATTTGAGCAAAGCATTAGAAAGGACATCAGATGAGCCCAATGGTTAATATCTTGTATAATGTTTTATTGTAATTATTTTCCTGTACTGCCTAGAGAAGATTGCTTCAAGAGTCACTTTGCAGGAAAGGAGGGGAGCTTGTTTCATTTTAATTTTACTTACACTTAAAAGTAGAATTTAAAAATACTTGGCATTTTCATAGATTAAATTTCTAACGTACAGTGGTGAGTGTTGTAAACAAAATATTTCGACAAGCTTTTATCGTTATTTTTGTACCTCACAGAAAGTAGGGTGAGTTTGTTCAAATTAGTTTATTGGTGTTTAAAACCATTTCTTTTTTTTTCTCTCTCTCTTATTTTAAAGAAATGGCTGCAAGCAACTGACCTCACTAGAGAAGTGTACCAGCATTTAGCCCATTCTGTACCCAAAATCTACTGCAGGGGTCCCAACCCTTTTCCACAGAAAGAAGACATGCTGGCACAGCATGTTTTGTTGGGACCGATGGAATGGTACCTTTGCGGTGAAGATCCTGCATTTGGATTTCCAAAACTTGAACAAGCAAACAAACCTTCTCATCTTTGTGGTCGTGTTTTTAAAGTAGGAGAGCCTACATACTCTTGCAGGTAAAATATTTTAATTTTCTTTCTAGGAGGCTCTTGTTTTATTTGACCTCTTTTTTTTACCTGAAACCTTAAAATTTTGTTTAAAAACTTCTGTATTATAAATACATGCTATTTAATTAAAATATATAGATTATATGAAGCATATAATTTAAATAATTATAAAACGAACATTCTTGTAATTATTCTTGAGATCAAAAACTAGAATGAATGTCACTGGCATTCTAGAAGCCAACTGTGTGCTTTCTTCCTTCCCCCATAATTAACTGACATCTTGACTCTTGCTATAATCACTTCCTTGCTTTTCTTGATATTTTTTAGTTACAGTAATTCTGATGTTCAGATTGCCCTAGATTTGGCTAGTGAGAGCCCCGTCACACCAGCTTCTTTGTCTTTTTCACATCCTTCCATTAGTTTGTGAGTGCTTCTTTCCTTTCTGGCACAACAAGATGCCTCCAGCTCACTTTGTACTTGCTCTGACCCATATGTAGAATCAGCCATTTCTGAAAGGATTTTTCTTTCATTTCGGAATGGTAATTAGAAACCAGGATATGGGTGCTATACATATTTACTGCTATTAGGAAGACTTTTCTTTTTTAAATTTCTTGTTGTAAATTGAGTATACAAAGGTAAAAGATGGAGAATAAAGTGCCTTGTCTCTTTTTTGACTATCCTACTTTCCAGAAATAATAATTGTAAACATATATCCTTTCAGAAATTAGGTAAAAAGAAAAATTTCTTTTTCTTTTCTTTTTTTTTTTCCTTTGAGACAGAGTCTCCCCCTGTTGCCCAGGCTGGAGTGTAATGGCGTGATCTTGGCTCACTGCAACCTCCGCCTTCTGGGTTCAAGGAATTCTCCTGCTTCAGCCTCCCGACTAGCTGGGATTACTGGCGTCCACCAGCTCATTTTTGTATTTTTAGTAGAGATGAGGTTTCACCATTTTGGCCAGGCTGATCTAGAAATCGTGACCTCAGATGATCTACCCGCCTTGGCCTCCCAGAGTGCTGGGATTACAGATGTGAGCTACCTCACCTGCCCTCTTTCAGAAATTTTCTTTGCGTATATAGGCCGAGATATGTGGCAGTTTTAAACCTACATACATATACATATAAATAAAGATGGGAATATATTACATCTGCTAAGCTAAATTTTCTTTTCTGTATTTGACAATAGCTTAACATCTTTCCATATCAGCTTATGTAGCTAGATAATATTCTTTTGTGTGGATGTGCTGTTGATGGAGACATTATTTAACTTTTTCCTTAAAACTTTTTCCAGTGAAATTTAAATTTAATAAGCTAATTTTGGTGAAGGCCTCTGGATATCTATGGTAGTTTTTCTTTATCAGCATATTTAGACTCTCAATAGAGAACAGTATGTATATTGAAAGACTATTAGATCTAGTTTTTTGTTTACTATTACAGAAACCACTATGAATATTCTGTTGATGTTTGGAGCAGCAGACCTAGTTGAAAGTCCTAATTTACAGATAAGAATTTGAGACCCTGTTGTTCCAATAATGCCCTGTGTATCAGTAGGATCTAGTTCCAAATCCTTCATTTGTATATCTTGTCTTTTAATCTTCAATCTGGAATGTTTCCTCAGTTTTTCTGTGACTTTCATGATCTTGACACATTTGAAGATTACAGACCAGTTCTTTTGCGAATGTCCCCTCAATTTGGGTGTCTGGTTTTCATAATTAGATTCAAGTTGCGTCTGTGACACAATTACCACAGAAATCATGTGTTTCAACCCTGTCAGGTTGTATACATGATTTTGATTAGTTCTGTAACTGGTGATACTGATCACTTGATTAAAAGGATGTCTGCAAGACTTCTCCACTGTAATATTACTCTTTTCCCAGGTGATCAGTAAGTATGTTGTGGGAAGTACTTTGAGACTATTAAGTATCCTCTTCATTATCAAACTTTCAATTTATTTATATCAGTATTTGTGGGGTCTCATTAGTATACTCGAATTGTCCTAGATTTGGCCAGTAAGAGCCCCTTCAAGCTGTCTTTGTTCTTTTTTATATCTCTCTCATTCTTTTAGCTCTTTTTCTTTTCCTTTACTTTTCCTTTCTTCTCCTCTTCTTTTCTCTTCTGTTTTTTCCCTTTTCTTTCTGGTATAAGATGTCCCAGGCACATCTTGAGCTTTTCCCTGCCCCAACCTTGAAATCAACCGATTTTGCCAAGGAGCCTGGTTCTTTTTAGTGGAAAATGGTGTTTACAGATAAGATGGTAAGTGTGCTGGTTGCTGTTGGTGTTATAACTCCCAGGCTTTATTTTATACCTATTATCTAAATAAATGTATTGAAATAGATAGTGAAAACGATGCATTTGTAGTGAGCTCTCCAGTTCCCATCTATGGTTCTTTCCAGTTTTCTTCCTTTGCGTATTTTTAATTTCCTTCTCTGACAAGAGAAAACCCGATTCTCATTTTCCTCAAAATATTTGCTTATTTAATTATTCGCCTGTATGCAGCCATCTCTGCTACTGCTGCCGCTGCTGCCACCAGCTTCTCTGCATAATTGCCCTCCCTTACCCCGCTTGGATTTTGTGTTCTGTACTAGACCACAGTGGCCTTTCCTTCCTCTTTTTTTTTTTTTTTTTTTTTTTTTTTGAGATGGAATCTCACCCCATAGTGCAGCCTGGATTGTAGCAGCATGATCTCAGCTCACTATAACCTCTGCCTCCCGGGTTCAAGCAATTCTCCTGCCTCAGCCTCCTGTAGAGACAGGACTACAGGTGCATACCAGCTTATCTGTGTATTTTTAATAGGGATAGGGTTTCACCATGTTGGCCAGGCTGGTCTCAAATTCCTGACCTCAAGTGATCTGCCCGCCTCAGCCTCTCAAAGTGCTGGGATTACAAGTGTGAGCCACCCCGTCCGGTCTCCCTCCTGTTTTGTCAGGACAGATCCAAAGTAAGTCTTGTTCTAGGATGTATAGTTTTTCTTAGTTGTGGGGGAGTCCCACAAATAACAGAGACACTCTGATCACATAAGTAATGCCAGGGGTTTAGAGGTTGCCTCCCAGGAACCAGATCAAAGACCAACCAGATTCTTTATTACAGTGTTGTTGAGAGGGTAAATGAGATCCTTTGTAGTGCTTTACACAATACTTGGTACACAGTAAACTCACAGTAAATGGCCATGCTGGGTGCTGGGTATGAGTATCTCATTTTAAAAGTAGGTGTTCCCATGAAACCCAGTGCACTGGTAAATGACATAGAGTCTGTTATTTGGAAAGATGAAATATGGTTATTGGAATTCTGGGGAGGTTTCTAAACTGCACCCTTCAGGATAGAGGTAACTGATATCCATTATGTGGGATGTTCCTTTAATGAGAAAAATGATATTAAAGGATCTTCTGTGTATAGTACTTAGAAAAAGGATTTGTGAAGGGAATAGGTTAGTTTTGCCACGGATAGTTATTTATTCATAGTTTCTAAAATTATGTTGGCCACAAATTATTTTTCTGAAGTCTCCATGATGTCAGAAAAAAGCTATCTGGGTGTTTATAGGCAGTAAGCTACTTTCTATTTACTCTATTAGGAAAAGAGTGGTCAGACTTAGCATTTGTTATTCATTACTAAATAGAAATGGTTTTAGAGTGTAAAAATCTTAGTGGGCAAAAACCTTAGAGCTGATTTTGATAATGTATATTTTGACATTTTATAACCATTAAGAAAAAACACTAGTAGATTATGAAATCATACTTTCCTGAGTAACTTAAGTTTTTAACTTAATACTTCTGTTAAGATATAGAGAAGCGAGATTTCATTCCCGTTTTTTTAGTATAGTTAAATTGAGAGCCTTCTTTTTTAACATTTAAAAATGTATCACATGAATGTTATAGATAATCAGAAATCAGCATTGAGGGCAGGGGTGACTTATGCTGCCATCAGGAGTATTTTTGTTTTTAGATAGTATTTTATGATACTTTATTAACTATTAAATAATTTTGCTTGATTTTTTTGGTTTAATGCTGGTTTGTATTGGTATATAATTGTACATATTTATGGGGTATATGTGATATTTTTATACATGCACATAAAGTATAATGATCAAATCAGGGTAACTAGGATGCCCATTACCTTGAACATTTATCATTTCTTTCTTTTGGGATGTTTTGACTCTGATTCTATTGGTCATTACAATTGAGATTATGCGAAAAATTACAACTCTATAATCCCAAAGACTTTAAATACCAGGATATATTTATTACTCAGACTGTGTGAACAATTCAGATGAGTGCAGTAGTAAGTAGAAGGCTCCGCTCCAGGTAGTTTCTTCACACCATCTTATATTTCCACAAGCTTGGCGTAATGCTTTCAAGGTTCACCACAACAAGAGCAGAATAGTGCTTGTAGATCATGCCCAGCAAGTAAATGCTTTGTCTCAGAAATGATGACCTTGCCCAAATCTCATTAGGCAAAACTAATGCCTCTGTCCAGCTACAGAACAGGTTGGGAAAGTGTAATTCTCCTAAGTCTCAGGGATAGATGAAACTGGGATGTGGATGAGCTTTAGAAGTGTCTTTAGCAATGATTTTTTTTTTTACGTTTTTTAGGGTTATTTTTCCTCCCTGATTCATTAGGATAAAATGAAGTAATGTGTGTAAAAGCACATAGGTAACTATAAAGTATATATGTGTGAGGTTTTTTTTAATTGAATACTCTTCTTCATATAAATTACTGAGCCATGATAAGCAGAAGGGTGCAGATAGTTCCAGTTCCTTTTCTGTGTGGAAATAATAAAGCTCTCAAATGGAAGAACAACTTATTTCCATGAAGAGGTGTTCTTTCAGTCTCTTGCTTTTTAAAAACCTTGAAGTCTTGATCTCTTGCAGGGTTCTATTTTAAAACTGAGTGTTAGGCTGTTATTGCATTGCTATACAGAAATACCTGAGATGGGATAATTTATAAAGAAAAGAGGTTTAATTGGCTCACAGTTCTGCAAGGCTGTACAAGCATGGCCCAAACATTTGCTCAGTTTCAAG